AATAAAAAAAAATCGAATAAAAGGATAATCTGAGCATTTCTGTTCATTAACCTCTTACTTTTACCACACGAATTCTTCGATTTCGCACCAAACTCACTCTGGTGAGATATCTTACCATACTTACGAGTAAATTCTTCCGGGTAAATAGAACTTAGAGCTTCAAGTTCCAGATCTTGTTCCTCTTTGTGGTCTGTCATGACTGGAAAACCTTAGAACCTTCAGTTCTCCAAAATAACAAAAATATAAATAATAAGTGGTTCACATGTTTCAGATTTTGGAAAAATTTAAATTTCATCCACCATGTTAGATTTTTGGCGACATGTGCAAGCCTCGTTTTGAAGTCTCTAAGAGTTTTCTACTGGGGAGGCATTCTAAAAGCGACCTTCAGATAGTCAATCATCTCGTCCATTACTTCCTCCAGGGTCAGTTTGATCATGAATTAATCTTCGAAGTCAAAGTATAAATAAGTTTAATTATTTAATTTCACCAGATTTCGCACATAAATAGATGAAAAGGTGTCAGCATTGGCATTGAGGTTACTGCGCCTTCCCCCACACAGTAAGGTCTCGTTATCAGTCTCCCATACTGCACTGCAGGAATTCATGAACTTGCATATGGCGATTTTGTCATGACAGTGAAACTTCAACGTGAAAACTAGCTGAAATTTCCCTCTTAAAATGGCAGAAAATGAAGAAGGTGATAACCAGAATTACGAATATTGATCTCGGTTTGTAGTAAGCTGAGTCATCTTTGCATTTGTTTCAGGAAACAAGCGAAAAAGTGACGAGGAACCGGATGTCAGCGAGATTGCTCCAAAACGAGTAAGCACGCCTTCTGTCTCTTGTTTTCCATTTGACAGCGAAACTGTTTATCAAACAAAGAACGACAGCCAATATAGATTTATAAGAAAGAAATTCTCCTCAGGTGCGGCTAGATCTGCAGGATCTAAAGGACCTGTCGAAAGAAGACATTTTGGAGAGGTAAGAGTCCAAGTGACAGCTGAATTTATAAGCCTAATTCAGTTATTATATGCATGATAAAGTTTTGAAATACGGAATTGATGATCGATGCTAATTGTACTTAATTTCACACTTAGACTGGTGCATATACATAGAATCCAGTTAATGGAAATCAACATATCTATTTTTGCCAGTTTTGAAAAAAAATCCGTACACTTTCCTTGTTCATTTATTCGTACAGATTGCTGTGGAAAACGTGCGAAGAGCAGTCACATTCTTCATTCTACATTTAAGAGATTAATTTATCTTATCTTGTTGCTCTTGTATTAAGCATTAAATCGATGCAATGACATGTAAAAAAAATGTTAAGATATATCTGTGATTAAAAGTTGGACATGTGATTGTCTCCCTTGAAAGAAATATATAATGCCGGGTACCTTTATAATTTTGGTTTTAATGTGCACTTTAAGCTTTCCTTGCGAGAAATTTAAGGAAATGACTCATTTTCGTTTTACTCAATTTAAATCTTTGCTGTGTATTGTGTATTGTTAGCTTCCCTTAACTAAACCATAGGATATATACTCCATTCACTCCAAAGCTTAACATGTTTTAAAGCTGCTTTGTAAGCACAGTTCAAAATAGAAGTAGCTTAAACCAATGTTTGTTAACATAAAACTTAGCACATTGAAAGTAAAACTCAGTAACTTCCTGAAAGCTTTGGAAAACTCAGATTTTCAGCTCTCTGTTTCTGATTTTCATGTAAGTAAACATGTTTTTCTGGTGTGAATGGGGTAAATAGATGAACAAGTTCATGTGCCCCTGAGGTGTAGACATGCTGCTTTTGTTCTCATTTTATCCCCAAACTTTTTTTTGAAAATGCAAGAGGTAAATCATTGCATCTCAATTTCAAATGTAAGTCTAATTAGTTTTCAACAAAGATTTTTTCTTTTGAGCAGTGTGTCATTAACAAAGACTTGCTGGCTTGAACTTTCATTGTATGAACCAAGTGTTTTAATTAATTGGCAAGAGATCTCTTACTTGAAGTAGTGTTTTGTGTAGATGTTAGCCGAATTCTCACTTTGAACACGTAGAATTTGGAAGTCTATGATATTGCAAAGGCCAACAGTTTGAACAGGAAATTGCTTTTGAAAGAATGGAGTTAGACTTGAAATTGAGACAGTATACATGGCCTGGTACATCGTTCCCAAGAATAAAAATGGCATTCAAGTGAGAACATGGATAGTCTTTTTTCATGTCAGGGGAACTTAAAGGGAGCTAGTCACAATATCTGCAGAATTGCCTTTATCCTGAAGGAAACTACCAAATATTATGTACTTATTGACTTTATAGGAGAGCAGGAAAGGAAAGCATTTGGCTTGAGGTCTGTACATCCTGACTTAAAGCCAAATATTTTCCCATTCAGCTTGACCTAGATCAGTCAGTGATCAATATCATGTGCTTGCCACTCGTTCTCTTTCTTGTATTCCTGTTTCTGCTTTCTATTTACTGCTGCTTTTTCCAGCCCCAGTTGCATCACTTTGTATGGCTTTTATGTAGGATTTTTTTTTCACTGAAGTTTTAAATAAAATTATTTTGGTAGAAATTCTCAATTGTAACATCTAAGATTCAACATCACTGAATAGAGTTCATTCCAAGGGTTTTGGAATAAGCTCAAAAACCTTATGGTTGATACACCTCAAATTGAAAAGTTTTCATCACTGTATTAGAAAAAAGTATGAGTAAACTAAAAAATATCGATGATGGTTAAGAAAATGAAAATGTTTTGAGTTAAGCAATAGGGAATTTGATATAAATGACGAGACACCTTTCTTGATTGTTATAGTTACTTTACAGTGGAAGATTTATAACTAGGTAATGGACATCATTTTCTCTTGAAAATTTGGATAGCCATTTTAATTTTACAGCTGTATTTTATTTTTAGAGTGAAGGAGTTGATTGATTATGTCAGTGAGCTGGAAAAGAAGCAAAATGGGGAACAAGCAAGTAGTAAGTGTTGACCTTTTTTTATACTTGGATGTTATCAAAATAAAGGGAAATAGTGTGTCTTGGTCACCATTGGGCATTAAAGGGTTGTGAGGTCCAAGTACTAGTCCTGGTCGGAGTCCTTGTATAGTGGTTCTGAGCTTTGTAATCAGAAATGGGACAGAATACATGGTGGGCTTTCTTTGGATTAAGACGGCTACTGTACTAGTATTTTACGTGACAGTTTACCATTTTTCTTCTTTAAAGAAGAACTTGCTGGGCTCTTAGAGACTGGAGAGAAGCTTAAACAACAGCAGCAAGAATCCACAAGGCGTGAAAATGTGTTAGTGATGAGGCTGGCCACAAAGGAACAAGAAATGCAAGACCTACTGGTGAGGACTACAGAAAACAAGGCTTCATTCATAATACACTGTACAACCACCGCTTCTGCGGGGTAGTTTTATTGCTCATTCAAAAGAGACACTGTTTAAACTCATGGCCAAGTGTCTGACTGGGATCGAGTGGTACGGGAGGGACACAACCTTCAGTGGTAACAGACAATTGTCACATGTTGATTCCTAGCAACCAGAGAGCAGTTAAGAACTGTCCTGGAACAATTGTGAAGACTTGCATGTGTTCTTCACATTTTATGAACAGTTTTGATAAACTCAATGAACTGAATTATTGACACCACCAATTACCATGTATTTAGTAATGCATGTTTATTACTCTTATTCAAAACTTGGTATAATGGGCATCAATAAAACAGCCAGCTTGTTCTGCCCTAAGGTGGCTGTTGTAGTGAGGTAAAATTGTAGAACCCAAATTGACTTTTTGCAACAGAGAAAAAGATGAATTCCATTTAAAGGTGTTTGTTGTTGGGAGGCTTACAAACATCAAGTTACCACAATTTTTTTGGTACACTCAAAATGGAAGCAGCTTATGGTACAAGACTGTCAAAGTTGGTGGAAAAGGTGGTTGGTACCCAAACAATTATTCACTAAACATATAGATTGGACAGCACATTTAACTATTTCAAAGCCATATCCACATACAGTTAACTGCCACCTTTAAGCTTGGGGTTTATACAATTTTGCAAGGAGTTTTAAAAGGGCTTGTAAATGAGGGGAATTATATCAAAGAGGCCTTATATCTGAGGAGGCTAATATCCCAAATAGAAAAAGGACTTTGAAATGGGCTATAGCAGTACTGATCAAAATATGTTTTGCTGGTTTTCTAGCAAGCTTTGAAACACTATAAAAAATTGAACTCATTTCAACACACGTCATGTGGAACAACACATGAACTTAACAACTCCAAAAATCTGGAACATAGCAAAAGAGAAGTTAAGACCTGTCCCTTTAAGATCATGCCTGGACTCTCCTGTCATTAACTTAAAGATATTAATGTCTAATTCATAGCAGAGTTCCTATCTCTCAAAGCAAGAAAAGCTACAGTGGGTCTTATGTCTGAGGGGGGGTAGCTTATAATCTGATGAGTGTTTTTTTGTTTGCCAGTAGGTGGGCCTACAACTGAGTGGGGGGGTAGCTTATAATCTGATGAATTTTTTTTGTTTGCCAGTAGGTGGGCCTACAACTGAGTTGGGGGGGGGCAGCTTATAATCTGATTATTTGGTTTTTGTTTGCCAGTAGGTGGGCCTATAACTGAGGGGGGGGGGGCAGCTTAGAATCTTATGGGGTTTTTTGTGTTTGCCAGTAGGTGGGCCTATGGACCACTTTCATAAATGGCTGCCGGATTAATATTCTTTTGTTTAAATTTAAATTAGCCCTACTGGCCTCGTTCTCCAGTACAAAATTCAAAAGAATACATTATCTCAAGCGAGGCCAGTAGGGCTAATTTAAATCTAAACAAAAGAATATTAATCTGGCAGCCATTTATGAAAGTGGTCTATAACTGAGGGGGTGGGGGGGGAGAAGTTTATAATCTGATGATTTTTTTTTGTTTGCCAGTGGGTGGGCCTATAACTGAGGGGGGTGCTTAAGTGGCAGTTTACAGTAGTTTCCCCCTTGAATTGTGTGTTATTGAACCTAAAATGTAATTGGGTTTTATATCTAGATTGGGAATTCTCCTAAGAAAAGTATTTTATGCCTCATTGTTACTGCAAAGTTTTTTATGAGGAGTCACTTCCAACCATGAACTAAAGTTACTTTTGTTCTGCTCATTTCATTTTAAGTACAATCAGAGTTCATCTAATGACTCTTGATCTCCATAAGATCTCACTCATTTTCATACCTACATACCAGACATCTACATTGTGTCAATAAGGTTTTTACACAGAAAACTACAGTGCACAGTGTGCAGTGCACATGTAGGAAACGAATAAGCTTGCTTTGATAAATAACAAAATTTATATGCCTATGTTTAAAATTTACTGGTTGTTGTTTTTGAATGCATACCTTCCACCTATTGTTGTTTTCAAACAAAACAGCAATGAGTGGAATAATTTCATCAACCATTTCAGTGAACACTTTGGACACTATTTTGTTGATTCTAACAAAGCTGTATTCAATATTCTTTTCTGTATATATGGTACCAAAGTTCTAAAAGATAGAGATTGTGTAGTGCAGTTAGACTATTGCAGATCACTAACGAGCCAAATGCAAGTACAAGACCTCTGATACATGATGTAGAGGGGCATTTGATCTTTTTTTTAACCCTATAACTCCCAGAAGTGATTAACATGTAATTCCTCCCCATAGTCTTTATACATTTCCCAGTAAATAGGTAATGAGAATACTCAAACTTATCAGATAGAAGTTATCTTGATAGAACACTTAACTCTCGTAACTTATTTACGTGGAAATCTGCAGCAGCTAGAGGGGGGTATTAACAATCAGAGCTTGGGAGCCAAAGGGTTAAACCCTGCTGGTATTGATCTTAATCACCATGCTACCTTTTCTCCAAAACGTTCCCTTCAGAAATTGGTTTTTCTTTAGCTGTCAGGTTCACAGAAGATTGATAGAAACATTATTTTTAGCGTTTTTTCTTTTACGTGTGAGACAATACATTAAATACTAACACTACTAAAAGCAATCGGAAAGAAGAGGGTATGACCTTGAAGGAAAATAGAGTGAAATAATGACTCAGAGCTTAGATTTGCCATGGTAGGTTAACGGCAGTGTTGCATTCTTGCAGTGACCTCCCACTTAGTTTAGAGCTCGAAAAGTGAGGACAGATCGAAAGGCAGTCATATCACCGTGTACTAGTTTCTCGTGTAGGTTCAAAGTGCAAAATGGAAGGCGGGCAACGAAGCAAACATTTGTTATTTGTTATCCGCAGACGCAAATCCACGATTTAAAACAAGCTCAAAATCCATCCTCGATCCAGCTTCGCTCCACCTTACTTGATCCCGCGGTTAATTTGTTGTTTCAACGAATGAAAACGGACTTGGACTCAGAAAAAGAGAAACTGGAACAAGCTCAGAACGACCTGAATGCGTGGAAGTTTACCCCTGACAGGTGATTGGAAATTCCTTCACATAATTTTGAATGTAGCCTCTCTAAAGACCCGACTATTTCAGCGGGCGTTGAAAGGTATTGGCGATCAACCTTGCTGTAATAGCGACGGTCTGCACACTTAATCCAAAAGATGTGGAGCCCTACATGTTTCTAGCATTGTGAGGAACAAGTAACTTTTCGGTAAGACCTTATTGTGGTCTTAAAAATTTCGTCGGCACTGCGATTTTACAACAGCGCTAGTTTAAAAACTTGGCACAAGTTCTTCGCAAATCCATCTGTGCCGGTTCGTTGGGATCATGGAAAACTTTGAAAGTTGTCAAACGGCACACCACCATTTTCATGCAGACAATCTTGTAGAATTGGCGTGTGGATTAGGGAAACTCACGGAACGTGATTGAAAATGTCTTATTCGAGACCCACAGAGAAAGACCGTGACGGAGCGGTAGTCTTAGCATTAAATGAAACAAACGTATCGATCGCGTGTCAATAAAAAAGAAATTAGACTATAAAAGGCCATGGAAATTTGTGGAAAACCTCGATATAGTGTGAACCCTGTGTGCAAGTTACTAAGCGAGCACGGACATTTGCGACCATCCGTCGTTTGAAAACCACGCCCAAAAATGTTTTGACGCGAGGTTTTTGGCAGTAATTTTGTTAAGTAACTTGATGCCTGCATTTCGTCTCACGTCTGTCTGTCTTGGCATCATGTGCCGAAAATGATACTTGTATCTCCGACTGCTTTGAAGACAACGCGCGTTACGGATTATTTGAATGTCACACTTTCGACTTTGTTGTCTTTCTGAAACTTTCAACTGTATGGTCTCCTTTTCTTTCGTAGTGTTACAGGGAAGAAACTGATGGCAAAATGCCGCATGTTGATTCAGGAAAACCAGGAGCTTGGTAGCAAGTTATCTCAGGGAAGAGTGGCACAATTGGAAGCTGAACTTGCCCTTCAGAAGAAATACAGCGACGAGTTAAAAGGCAGTCAAGATGGTGAGTGCGAAAATGAGCAGATTATTGGTTACTGTTCGTTTGATAACCGTTGTTTCTTTAAAGTGGAGGGTCCTGCAAAGGGCGGCGTCCTGTATTTTTTTGCTGGTCGTTGTAAGGTCCTTGATTGAAGTTTGTTCTACATTATATCTGCCTAAATACTCGTTTTCCCATCGTGAGATAGCTCAGCTTTCCTCAGCTTTCCTCAGCAACCATCTGGATCGCTCATTGACCTGGAAAGTGCTCTCCCTTAAGTCAATATCTTGGAGGGTAAGGGTGGAGGGAAGGCATGACTCGTGTCTCGATAAACTCCGCCTGAGGGGAACGTCGGTCTTATGTATTGTGCCGCCATTCGTCTCGGAAGTGTCATAGTTGAATGGTTTCTTGAGCAACTGCCCATTGAATGGCGTTTCCTCTCGTGATGTAATCAAAAAAATCTTCTTGTCTCATTTCAGAGTTGAATGACTTCGTCATCCAGTTAGATGAGGAAGTTGAAGGCATGCAGTCAACCATCTTAACACTTCAGCATCAATTGAAAGACTGCAAACAACTATTGTCTCAATCACAGGAGAACGCGAAGAGTTACGAAGATAAACTAAATACCTCAGAAAGGTTGCTCGCTGAAATGCGACAGCAAAACTCGCCAGTCAGCGTCAAGTTAGAGGACCAAGACGAGCATGCGCAAGCGCAAGCGCAAACGCAGTTTTCGCAGGCGCATTCTTGGACCGATAGCGCTGAATGCGCGACAGGCGATAGAACATCCCCGGCTGCTGCGAAAAGCGAAGAAAGCAAAGAAAGCGAAGAAAGAAAAGAAAGCGAAGAAAGGATACTGCTTAGCGCATCAGTAACTGTCCCGACTATGAAGCCTCCGAGCGTTCCCTCGGCGTTTTCTATCAGCCAGTTATTAGCAACTGACTCGAACCTTGGGAAGGAGAATACAGCCGAGCACGCGCATGACAATTTAGAGAACGGCGGGAGTAACCATGAAACCCCGCCATCTGAACCTATAGACATAGGCGAGTCCCCTCTTGTCGCGGCCATGGGACTGGTGGAAAGAATTGGGAGTGAGTCAAACACTTTCAATGGGGAGGTGACGGGTTAATCGCATTTTCCCTCCCCATCATACCCCACATTAGTCCAAGTTTTTAGCCCCCACCCCACCCCGACCTTAGTAAACAGCCATCGTTCATCTGCTGATTTTGCAGAAAGGCGCGTGAGAAGCAGGTCTTTCTTATTAGGACGTTTTGATGTCATAAATTATCAATAAATATCGCTTTTTTTGCATCATCTGTTTCCTGTCGAGTACTATATCTGAAAATTCGGATAGCTAAATCTTCATCATTGAAAATCTTGAAAGTCATAGAGTTCTATCATATTATTTATTTCCAGCCCTGGAAACTCATTGTTTTAGTTTGTCGAAGTATGGATCGTGGAAAGTTAAGGGAAATATTGGAAAGTGTTTCTATATTTACTTAATGTATTCCTGAGAACAACCCATCAGAATCGCGGTTTACAAAAAAAAAATCAAGAAAGCTCTGCGAAACGCCATGGTAGATGCAGAAAAAAATCACTTAGCTAATTCTGTAGTTCACTGTAACATTTACCAGCCGATGACCAGAATGAAAGTCGAAGGGGGATCTAAAGGGTCTGAAAGACATTCAGTAGCGCCTGAAGAGCTTATAAAAAATTACGAGTAAAAATTACGAAGCATGATTATTGCTAATTGTGGGCACATTTACTGTGACAGTAATTTACGGCGTAGTTTTAACACAGCACGTTGGCTTTTGATTCGGGTGTGATTCTTCATTCGACAATGTGTTTCCTTTGTTAGAGGAATTAGGCGATGACCTGCAGAGAGGACCATCAATGTCAAGTATTTTTGCCTTGGCCCTTGGGATGAAAATTCTACATGGTGCAAAAAGATGTGTATAGTCCTGTGTACAAAATTAAGAATCAAATCGAGGAAACTTTTAACATTGTTGAATCAAAGTTCCAACAAAGAAGAATGCAAAAAAAAAAAAATGTGCGGGGGTGATTTGTTACTTTACATTACCTTATTGTGACAACGCGTACTCACACAAACTACATGCATCCATTCGATCACACAAATTTAATTCCTGTACCTAATGTAATACAACCGTGAATACTTCAAGAAAAAGGGGAAGAAACGAAATGGAAAGGAGTATGTGAACATGGCTTGCCCCAGACGACCCAGGGAGGCTTTTGTGATCGCCTGCAATACATCTCTCCTTTTTTACCACGCCTTGATCTTAACGCTATATTGCATATAGCCGTCAGGTGGCCTTTAATTTCCTGAGCATCCCATGCAGAACGATGAACTCCATAGGGAAGTGATGAATAAATGATTTGCTCCACTTTTCAAGGGAAGGTTTCGTACGAAATGTCTTTATGTAACTTCACGAGATTTTTATTTTTCAATCGGTTTAATCTACTGTAAACACGTTTAATGTTGACCATCTTGAGATCTCTTGACCATTCAACGCTTCACCTGATTAACATTTCCTTGTATTTGTCTCTGCCTTTAGACCCCCGTCGTATGCTTACAGTGGGTTGAAAACTGCCATTTAGGTCAATAGAAAATAACAGTCAGTGTGTCAACGCGGGAGGCTAGAATACATCTCAGGTAGGGTTGTTCACGCTGTTGTGGAAACACCACGACACCCTCCCCCCTTTGATTACCAGCAGCGTAAAAGTTCTTAAACGTCCCGGAAATGGATAAAATTCACCATTGTAGAAATAATGGGCGTCTCCTCCTCAGCTTTTCCGCTTCTGTAGACACAAAGCGTATTTGAGAAGAAGATTTTGAGGGTTTGACTCTTACAGACAGAAGTAAAACGGTTTGTTTAAGAAGGATTTACGGGAAAACTTAGTCCGGTTAAAATGGGCTTCTTATGTTCACATTGCTCTTGTTAGCTCTTCTTCACCGAGGATTATACTCAAGGAGTCGTCCAACCGGAAACTGGTTTGTTTTTGTGTTCTCATCAAAAGACAATGAGGTTTTGTTGAGTGAGTTTATTGTCACATTAAAAACACTTTCCGTGATGTCATCTTCGTGGGTTCAGTTGAGTTGACTGCTGCCGGTCTATGTGTCTGAAACACGATAAAACACATAGAGGATCAGTGAAAAAATGTTATCTTTCGAACGGTTACTTCAAATTACAGGAAAATTTGATTTAATCCCGACAGGGCCAGTATCAGCGCTTGGTAAAAGTCGTATGGCGTCGTAAATCGAAGGAAAGAAAGAGAAATTCAAGCACATGGTTAAGAAGATGACGGTCAGACTATTCTTTCATTGGATTATCAGAATAATCGAGAATCTACTAGCACCAGTAAGTACGCTTTCCGTCTCAATAGTTTAACGACACGCGATCATAAAAACCAATTATTAAACTTATATCGATCAAACGCTAGGCACAGTTCTTATCGCTTTAGAACAATCGTGTAACAGTTCGTGTAAATAGTTGAATTACTTTGATTTCCTTGGCCATGTTCGGAAATGGTTCTGTTTCTCGGTTTCTCGGCCAGTTACTTTAAACTCTCGAAAAAAGATCCTTGAAATTAAATTAAAAATTAAATGATATGGAATGCGGGATTCGAGTGGACAATCACATATCAAGAAACTTTCTAATATCGGAATTGCTGTTGTTTTGACAATGAAACTTCCTTTTGAATCGCTTGATAAGCGTGGCAATCATCCGCTTTCATTGAATATTGTGCTGGTGTAAAAAGTGGTTCTGGATGAGGCGGTCTTATTAACGGAACCTGGGTATTGAAGTGAAAAGAATGCGGTTTGAACCGTACATTGAACGCTACGGAAAGATCTGACTGGTTAACCATCTTTAATTTGAACGTTTCCTTCATTTGTCACAAACGGTTAAAGATAAAGTCAATATTCCTGATAGAGGGAGGGAGGATGTCTCCGAAGTATTTCCTACCGGATATGAAGGTTCGACCAGTAACTAAAGGAAGTTTGAAAATCTGAACGACAAAAGTCTTCTGATGGGTTTTCCCCGCTTGAAGCCGAGCCGGAAACAGTCGGCCAATTTAATGTTTCGGTCACAAGCGACTTTCTGAGTCGACTAAAAGTACAAATTCAATTTACCTTCTCCTTACCATACACGATCATAAAACCGAAAACACCAGAAACACTTTTAAGTTTATTGTGTTTTTAGGAAAAGCCAAGTAGGCATGAGAAAAACTTAATAGCTACAGAAATCTGTTTGTGGTTTTGAGGTTTGCTCGCCTGTGGTTTGACAGTAGAGAACTGACCTGTCAAAATAAAATCAGTGTCACGGTTTCTTGAGTTTCATCGAAAAAATTTTGAAGATCCTTACAAAAGTAGAAAGCGATTTCGAGAAAAATAAATCCTACTTTCCACTTTGGTCAAATGCCAAAGTAACGTTAATGAAAACGTGTGGAGTTGCCTTACGACCGGCAAAATATTGACGCCATAAACAATGTAGACAAAAAAAGGAAAAGGAAATCATTGTTGTTAATTACTCAGGGTTTGATTTATTTGAATTGCTTCTTACAATATTTGTAGATCATCTGGCTTCGTCATACGTCAGCCTGCTTGCTCCTTTTAAAAATGTTGTGACAGAATCAAAGGAAAAACTATTTGTCGTTTCCTTTCACAAGATCGAAGTTCTTCTGCTAAATCGAGTGATGTGTCCAAGACGAAATCCTAACACTGTTGTGTTGTCACAAATGATTGGCGATCGTGAAACGTCGACTCCGAAATACTGTGTGTGCAGATATTCAGTCATAAATATAATTTACTCAGAGCAGTTTTCATATCGAGTGTCCAAAAACCTAAACCAAGTTAGTCTCAGCGACCAATCAGAACAAAGGTTTACATTATCGTTAGCCAATGAGAACTCAAAGTGCGGAAAAACAGGATTGTCCAAGTCGCGATTTTTTTCGTTTTACATCTAATTGGTTCAGAGACCTAAAGAGGATGGCGCAACTGTAGAGACAAAACGTCGACAAAATGCCGGAGCTGATATTTAACTTTTTGGTTATAAGGCCAATAAGGAATAGATACGGCTGTTGAATTCCACTGTGTAGATGAATTCCCTTCGATCCCAGGCCAAGTCGCTTTTTGCTTGCTGATGTTTTGAGAAATGTAACAAAGAAGATTAATCTTGCATTTAATGCTGATACTAAAATAGCCAACTACATATTTTTAGGTCTTATTGTCCGCATTTTTGTTTTGTAGGCCTCCATAGCAGCGATTGCTGTCCTTGTTTTTCTGCGTACTTTCTACACATACAGAGACGGTATTCAATACTACTATCTCTATGCTATGCTAGGGGTAAGTGGAGTGTCTCAAGATCTGTGTAGCCACGAGAAGAGAATTTTTTCTAAATTTTTGTTGTCAAAATATTTTTGTTATTTCATCACATTTACTTTGCAAAGTAAACGTGATCAAATAACAAAATATTTTGACATATTTTGGGTTTAGTGCTGTTGTTTAAATATTCGTAGTTTTCTGTTCTCGGCGTCGCGTTACGTGATCGATTATTGTTAGTCACGTAAGTTCATTTGCTGTATTCTTTTCTTGTTCAAATCGGTATAAAAGTTAGCATTCTTTTCTTGTAAGTTAGTTTTTTGTGTTTTTCCGAGTTTTCGTACAAATCTAGTCAGTATTCTATTTTTTCTTGTGTATTTTCGCTTGTTTCTGTCGCATTTGAACATTTTGGTTTCTCGAGTTCGTATCTAGTAATTCGGTATCAGTTACAAAAATTTTGTAGCAAATCGTCAGTAAAAGTGCGAATTAAAAACTGTTTGAGGAGCGTAATCAACAATCTGAAATAGTGATTCTATTTTTCTATGTGCTAATCATTTCCTTGTGTATCAGTCGAGAGAAATTGTCATTATATCAAGATTATCCTTGTCATTGATAAGATAGGGTGTTGATTCTCACCCCCAACTCGCTGGATAACGCAGAGTACTTTTCAATTGAGCGTCGTAAAACCAAACCAAATCACAACGGCCAATCAGAAGTAAGAAAGATAATTTTAATAGCCAATGAGGATTCAAAATAAAACAAATCAAACTGTTTGAAGCGCGGGAAAACGCGGGCGACCAAGTCATTACTGGTTTGAACTTTGCATCTGATTGGTTGAGAAAGAGAGGGGCAAGTTTTCTGGACCAATCACAGAACGAAGTAAAGCGAAACCAATGCAACCTCGTATTACTTTTGAAATTAAATTAAAATTGATTTTGATAATATCTTGACTATCGTGTTTTTATCTACACCTTTTACATTTTTTTTTTGTTTATTTTTAGGACAGTTTATGTTGGTCACGAGGAACAGCGTCAGTTTTGTACGTCAGCTGTTGCTTGATCCTTCTTCCAATGTGTCGCAATGTGTTGTCGTTGATCAGGAATTTCAACAAGGTGAGGCTACGAAGCTAAATCTTTTTTTCTTTTTATTCGTAAGCGATTACAAAAAAATGGTCGCAAAGCAATCGGCCCAATAACAATACCAAAACGATTACGCTGTGAAACTTACTTGCTCACTAATAAAGTTCCCAAAATGCGACTTGTGTGCGCCACGTGCTAGCTTATTATCAAATTTAAAAATTTCTGAGTGCGCGTGTACCAGTTGCAGTCTTGTTTCGAGTAAAAGCATTTAAAAAAAAAACATTCCAGGTATGGCTATCGAAGATGATTGTTTTAACCCTTACAAGCACATCCCCGTTCGAGCAGTTATGAATAGATGGTCAACTTCAAATTTAACTCTGGAGGGTTTGAATTGAGATTGTAGGGTATACTGAAAACGTTTCACCTCTAAAGGTACTTTACTTAAATATGACTGTGGTTTATGTGTTAATTAAGCAATTAGCAGATATTACACATAGTACAAAACTTACAGAGAATTCGTATGATGCACGATCCTTCGCAGTAGATAGCGCTATTTATGCAATAGCGAAAATCAGACCTGAAAAAAATCAGGCCTGTACGGGATTTGAACCACTGACCTCTGCGATACTAGTGCAGTGCTCTACCAATTAAGCTAACAAGCTAACTGGGAGCAGGCCGTTAAGTTGATTCGTAATAAACCCGTGATGATAAATCAGATACAATGAATATATGAAGTTCATATATTTTGAACTGTGGTATTAAATACGTATGATGCACGTACAGGCCTGATTTTTTTCAGGTCTGATTTTCGCTATTGCATAAATAGCGCTATCTACTGCGGTGGATCGTGCATCATACGTATTTAATACCGCAGTTCAAAATATATGAACTTCATATATTCATTGTATCTTACAGAGAATTGTAGTATTGAGTCATCTAAGCAACGGTGCTAAGAACTGACAGCCTTGAATTAGAGCCCAGCTCTCCAATGTATGTTGTCATTTCCGCTTCAGACTATAACCCGTCTGTTTGGACGCCTATTGGACAGAAACATCTGGTTCCACAAGGCATGCGCAGTGGTAATCATTGTTTCAGCTGGTGGGTACTCAAATAAGATTATAAACCGTTTCCTTTGCTTACGTCAGTTCCTGTCAACTGCCTGAAATACAGACACAAAACATTGCTGAATTTTTTTTTTAACTTCAGTCGCTCTCTTCGTAGGAATTCATATCGGAGCCCACATTGTAAATGCCAAGAAATTTTCTGCAAATTACAGTCATGAATTTAAAGATTTAAACTTTGCTTCCTATCCTAATCAGGTAAACATTGAACTACAATCGACATTTTCACTTTGGTTTTACAATTAAACTTTTCTTTAAAGCCACTTCGTGGCAACGGGTAGTGCTTTTTTGTGACTCTGATTTGCCATTTTTTTCCTATTTATTTTTAGGATCCACTAAAAATTTATCTAACTTCAGGTAAGAAACAAGATATTTTTCCCGTTCGCCCGTTCAAAATTTCCATCCAACATACCTCTTGATTAATAATCTTGGCCGGAATTTCTTTTTCAGTCAGTGGAACAACTGGAATATTGATGACTCTCGTTTTACTTATTATGGTACGTCAAACGGTGTCAGGGGAACAGTCCGACCTCGTTCCCAGGGCCTTTTCCCCACCCCCATCCCGGGAACGAGGTTGGGAACAGTCTTATAGGGTTTAGGGGGATCATATGGTTTTCGAGGAAACGAGGGTTTGAGTCGCCGCCGACAGAGTATAAAGGGGGGGACTATAGAAAATAGACTGCCAATTATTGCCAATGAGGGTGATGGGGTTATCAGAGCCTTATGAGAGGATCAGGTAAATTTTATCGTGATACAACCAAAATCCTCCGAACCCCCCCCCCCAGGTAATTACTAATGACCGGTCCATAAAATCGGATAACTTGCATTATGATGTACAGTAAACACCCGCATATAAGAACACATGATTTTGGAGGTCAGGCTGATCAGGTTCTTATTTATCGGGTGCTTAGTGAAAAATCAGCCTGAAGGTGTTCTTAAATTGTTTTTAAATTTTGTTGTTGGAATTCAGAACTGTAACAATGCAAAAAAATGCTTGAGATTAAATTAGCATATTTAATGGCAAAGAAAATTAATAAATATCATGACATTATTGTAACGATTAGCCTGCAAAAGAAAATCAGCCTTATTACTAGTTAACTAGTGAACAGAACAAGAAAATACATCTAACATGAAGGGCATGTTAATGTCTTATCCACTTTATAAGAACATTTTATATTTCCGGGCTAATTTTGTTCTTATAAAAATGGTGCTTTATTTGCAAAATTTCAGCCTGATGTTCTTAATCCATGTGTTCTTATATGCGGGTGTTTACTGTATATGCATTATCTGTCTCGCGTTCATCCTAACGTAAAGGCCCGCTCCTACGTCTGAGCTTTAAATATTAAAAGTTATTTGGTCAAAGAAACGCATACTACTTACGGTATCATTATATTCTTAAAGCTGGGCGAGTGCGGCTCTCAATGAGTTTTCAATAAGCCTATCTTTCTAATAAGCACCCCTTCTGGAATCCCTAATTAATTTTTAGGTCAATGAATCAATTAACGAGCTCCCCAGGGTTGCTTATCGAAGTTTTTACAGTTTTTCTGTTCATTTGATTTTTCAGATCGCAACGTCTATGGTTGCTGTGAGGTAAGTGTTACCAATTTGAGTGAAATTCTTTTGATTTTGGCCCTTGTAAGTGATTATTTCTAAAGCTTCTGACAATGTCGATATCACTCAACTTTAATCTCTTGTTTGTTGTTGATCTCTAGGCGCGCCTCATATGAGATCTTTTGGTATACTCATCATCTCTTCATTGTGTTCTTTTTACTTCTGTTAGTCCACGGTCTCGGGTAAGTCGATTTCCTTACAAGGGAACAAAATACAACAGGTTTTATTTGAAATGTTTTGCCTTCTGAGTCATTTCACCTAAGTTTTACACGATAAACTTGAAGGTGAAGAGTGTTTCAATTTCAAAAATTATCGATGAAATTATGACAGTGACCTCGATTTGAGATTCCACAAAGAGACTGGTCTTCAAATATGCCAAGAAGTCGACTACTGACATCGCCATTTTGAATGCCTAGCGCCCTGAATGCCTAGCGCCCTGAATGCCTAGCGCCCTGAATGCCTAGCGCCCAGAATGCCTAGCGCCCTTATCGCTTCTAGTGACTCCCTTTGCTTTCTTCCACTCTTGGGGATGTCTCTGGACAATTGGGAGCTACGAAAGTGACATTTTACCTCAAATTATGATTTTTTTGTGGTAACCGTAGCAGGGGCCGTTGGCGGTCAGGTTGCTAAGTCGTTTTCTATATGGCGGATTTCATGATGTTTTCTCAGAACATTTGAAGGAAATTTCTGAACAGTTAGGTGACTATTTGCTATCCAAAACACAGTAAGTTGTAAATTTTTGAAATATCCTTTTCGATTGCGAGTAAAACAAATCTTTATGGTTTCTGAAGAATACTTTGTCCTTCTTTGATTATTTGTATACTTCCATAGTGGGGTGATAAAACACCAAGTGAATTTGGATGCTCACACACCCGGATGTAAAATGGCTGAAAATAAGACCGAGAGTGCAAACACCAGTCAGGTGGCATGGTGCTCAGAGGAGCCTCTCTTTCAAGCAGATGAACCGGAGGTAGATTGTGTAGATGAAGCACATTTAAACGTTTAGAGAGGCGCGCATAAATATGACAGTTAGCTACAATCAATGTCATGTTCAACAAGTGCAAATAGAAAAACTGTTTTATTACATTATTCTCGTTTTGATACATATTTTTGTCACACTGTATATTCAACTGTACATTTCTGTTTCTTCAATATCTAGGCCTGGAAATGGTGTGCTATTCCTCTGGTAATTTACGTAACGGAGCGACTTACAAGACTTTTCAGAAGCTTTCAGAAAGTTCAACTTATTCAAGTAAATAATCTTACTACAATTCGTCTTTCAGGTGACCTTGAACTTCTCAACCCTTCTATTTCCTTCTGTATAAAATAACCATAAATAAGGGTAGTTTAAACGCAAATTGACTATCTTCACTTGCTAAGTTGCAGATTGCAGAACTAACCCCTCTTCTCTTGTTTCTCTTACGACTGTCAGGTGGTACAACACAGGGATGGAGTCGTGGAAGTGAAAATGAAAAAGCGGAATTTTTCGGCAGCACCGGGCCAGGTGTGATGACTTCACCTTCTCGTGTACCCTCCTGAAAGCCATGATTTAGATTGTAACTTCCCTTTAGTCACAACAACGTTTTCCATTAGAAGTGAAAAACACTGCTTTCAATTCCAGCTGTATACGTTACGACATACATCACTGAAATATTGTTTCTGGTTTTAGTACGTGTTCATCAAATGTGCAGACGTATCCAGATTTGAGTGGCATCCCTTTACGTTGACTCAGGTGAGGTTCACTGCTGGATTGATCACTCCCTAATGAATACCTAGTGAGAAAATCTATATTTTTTATCTTTTAGCCTTATGATTATGACGATCTTTCTTGAATCAAAATCAAAGGGCAAGTATAAAAACGATCGTATAACAAGGAACCACTACCAAGAAAAAAATTAAGAAACTTAACGCGCCATAAGCGCGGGGTAAAACTTCGATCAGTTTTAAGTTTTATATATGACTGCTTTTAAAGAGAGCTTTGAACACGTTTTCTTGACCAATCCGACGCACAGCACAGTAAGGTGAAAGTAGTTAAATCCCTGAATACTTTCGACACGCAATTAAAACCTGCTCATTCGGAAACAGGAAGTCATCGTGTACCAAAATCGTACCGGCAACCCAGGGGAAATTTCTACGTGGAAGGTTACTTTAGTTCGATGTGACTGAAACCTGTCATGGTCCTGATGAAGGAAATGCTAATCTTACATTGAGAAGAAAAAGCAGAAAGCTGTCATTATTAACAAGGATACATTTTTTGTTCTTTCGCAGTGTCCGTCATTAAAAGATTCAACGTTCTCCGTTCATTTTAAGATTTTAGGAGACTGGACCGGTGAGTTGTACTGTGCTATTGAACTTCTAGTTAGATTGATAATGCAGATTTAGTGAAATGATCCAGAGGTGCTCCTGATTTATCCTTCTAGCCTTGCTAAAAATGATGTTGTAATCTTGAACTGAAAACTCAAACAAACAAACAAAAAACACGTTGCTAACAAACTACGTCTGTGTTTAGAGGTCGAGGGCGTGTTAACGATAAGTGCGAAAATGCGTGGAAATCTTTTTTTTTTGTTCTTTTTTATTTTTGTGGTTTGAAAAAGGAAAACTGCTTCTTTTCTTTTTAAGAAAACAGAAAACGATTCATTGTTTGTTGAAAATGGAGGCATTTTTGCCGTCTTCCGTAGACATCAAGGTTAAGAAATTAGTGGACAATGAGTTTTAGGTAGAACAAAGATCGTCACATTTAGGAACACAAAGCAAAGAACAAATGAGTTTTTCATTCCGGGGCAGATTTAGACACGTTTTAGGAGGTAGACAGTATGGGAAAGAATGAATTGTGAAATGAACTGCAGCTTGTTAAAACGCTCTCTTTTCCCTATGCGATGTTAAACAATCAGAGAAAGCGAAGTGTGTCATTGCTTATAGAGAGAGAGCGGTAAAAGTGAGAGTATCACGGCAAAATATGCGTGTCATATATGTGTTATATACCAAGCATGAGGTCAAAATGGCTGGATATTGACCGAGTTCTTTTTTGCGTTTTCATGGACAAAGACGAAGTCTCGTGGGCAATCCCGAGCGGGCAAGATGGACCCATCTTGCCCGCTCGGGTAGCCAATCAGAACGCAGAATTCGCTTCATATTGCCCTCAGGTACTTCCTGTGATATAATAATCCAGCATATTGCGATCTCAATAATTTTTCCCTCCATTGTAGGTTATCATAAGTTACCTCATATGATAAAGAATGATTCATCGTTGATTCCAGAATCATTTCCTAGTCACAGTCTTGTCAGAGTTAAAAAAAGATACGAAAGTTTTGATAGATTGTATATCGTTTATAATTTCTACTTTTTTTTTTTCTAGAAAAGTTTGCGGATAAGCTATTAGAGGCAAAATTTGATGGTGACCAGAAGAACTTGGCTTGTGTTGAACAAAACGAAGAGTATTTTTGTTATGTGAGGCATTTTGTAAAGTAAGTGCACATTTAGAGGTTAGAAGAGGACGTTAGAGGTTAGCAGGGGACGTTAGAGGTTAGCAGGGGACGTTAGAGGTTAGCAGGGGACGTTAAAGAACCCACACACTTATCGCAAAGAGTAGGGAACGTAGCTCTCGGTGTTGTGGTCTGGCCTGTTTTACTAAAAATTGTAAAGTGCATTTGATCATATCCAAATGTTAATTTGCGCGATATAAATATTAAATTATTATGACTATTATTATTATTATTATCATTAGTAGATTCTCTGGAATGAGTATACAGGTGATACAGAAAAACTTGGAACTAGTTGTTAGTTGTGCAGTAAAATAATCAGTCTTTGAAAAATCTGTGAAGTGGGGAGAGAAAGCGTTCTGAAGGAGTTATGAAATAGTATTGCGAGTACGATATTTTAAAATGTTATATAATTGAATTAATTAAATGTAAATCCTTAAAACAATCATTTGCAAAGGAAGACGAGCATGCAACGAATAAAATGATGAACTTAGAAGATTATTGCTGAAAAACTCCCACAGTGGGATCTGTAGGCTAGCCTCAGTGGTGCCGCCTCGTTGATGTAGATGTTTGAAAACTTTGAATACTTTAGATCTTCTAAAGTTTTTTTTTTTTCTTTTGTTAGGTGGGTAGTAGGGTTAGTTAGGAAAGAGGTCTTGATAATGAAAGCATTTCGAAGATTAAAACGGGATGTCTTTCCTTAACATTAGTAGGGGTTAGTCAGGAAAGAGGTCTTGATAATGAAAGCATTTCGAAGATTAAAACGCGATGTCTTTCCTTAACATCAGTAGGGGTTAGTTAGGAAAGAGGTCTTGATAATGAAAACACTTCGAAGTTTAAAACGTGATGTCTTTCCTTAACATTAGAATTGCTGTGGATGGCCCGTACGGGAGTCCATGTACGGTATGATGAACTGTTTTGTCTTTGTCTAACATTGAATTCGAATCAAATACTTTTTAACCTCGCTAGATATCTGATAAACACGCTTTAAATTCCGAGGCTGTTTCCGTCCATAAATCCGCTGTTTGTCTTTTCAGGACGTTTGGAGGTACAGCGTCAGTTTATGTATAGCGACGGGTATTGGTGTGACACCTTTCGCTGCTCTCGTCCAGGAGCTGAGGTGAAATCTTAAACTACAAGTTCTTAAACGATTCTACAGCCAATATAGGTGACTGGTTAGGAATCCCGACTGCTTTTTTTTTTTCCGCCTTGACCATGCACGACGTTCAACAGAATTCCACTATTGTTTTCCTCGTTGATTATTGTTGGCTTTGCTGACGAATCCTTCTTGATAACTTTGAAGATAAGGACTAGAATATGTGGTCTAGCATTGCATTTGCAGGTGATATATGGGTTATTAACCAAACGTGAGGTCAAGATGGCTGGCCGATATTGACCGAGTTCTTATTTTGCATTTTTATGGACCGAGACGAAGTCGAGGTTCATAAAAATACGAAAAAAGAACGAGGCTAATATCCAGCCATCTTGACCCAGCAAGCTTGGTTAATAAAGGATTTATTACATTGCAAAAAGATTTCGCTTTACTAAGAATTAGGAATGACTTGTTTACTTCGAGAGTCGGGAAAGAAAGCCAACTGTGTTTGTAGCACAACAAACTCACGTGAGTCGTTTCTGCTTTCTTTGTTTTGACTATCTTCTGCCGCTTTTTGCGTTTCGATCGCCGACATTGTACAAGAATTACGAACGTAGTTCTAATTCAATTTTTTTCATGGGCGGGATCGATGTAGGCAATCCCGAGCAGGCAAGATGGGCCCATGGGTAGCCAATCAGAACACAGGATTCGCCTCATCTTGCCCGCTCGGAGAGCCAATCAGAACACAGGATTCGCCTCATCTTGCCCACGGGCGCTGCGAGCGATGTAATACGAGAAGAGAAACAACTCTCTATCAGCACTTGGCTAATTTCTGGTCATCATGTTTCAAAGGCATCTTGAACAAAAATACCTTTGATGGACCTGTTAAACTGCATGCTCGTGCCTCATTATTGATGAAGTCAATCATATACTAACGTCTCCGAGGGTTGAGCAAAGAAATGTTACTCGTAGCATAGTGTCAAATCTGATCACGACTGGTAAATGTATCATAATTGGTGTCATTCGCAGGGAGAAGATAAGAACAGAGAAGAAACTAAAGATGCACAGATTATATTTTGTGTGGGTGTGTAAACACGTGCAGTCTTTTCTATGGTTTGTGGATCTTTTGCGCTCCACCTTTACTGAGGTAATACATATTACCTTTTAAAACATAACAAATGAATTTTAGTAATGGAATTCAACTGCCTGAGCGTGCTTCGTATTTTACAGCGCATGTCGAATGCATGTCGTAAAAGCGAGAGCTAAGGAATCACAACAGCGAAGCAGAATAAAGGCAAATGTCAAAAGTGCCAACGAGAACTTAAAGTAAATACAAGCCAATTATCTGTACCCGAAGCGAGAGTGACCAAGTAGCTATTGTTTCGACTGAGATTTAAATCTGAGTGGTTGGTTAAAGTGGCGCGAGGTTTTTTGGATCAACCATAGAGTGAAGTACCGCAAATCCAAAGCAAAACCAAAGAAACCTGGATCACTTTCAAAATTCATTTGAAAACTGCTCTATTGTCCTTCCAACTTACTAAAATTTATCATTTTCTTAGTTCTTCACAATGATGCATTTTACCGCTTTTACCTTATTAGAGCAATAATTTCTAGCCAGCTTTCGAGCTTTTCTTTATTTGGCATCCAACAGTGACGTACTGGTTTCACTTAGTGATTAAGAAACAAAGGAGTGGTTGATATCATCAGGGTTGTTTGATAAAAAAGTCAACTTCATTATTTTGTTCCTCAGCTTTGGGATAGCAACAGACCAGATTTCCTGATATGTAATTTCTACGTCACTTGTTCACATTCTGGGGATCAGGTAAGGTGTATATCAGATAGTAAAATTTTCGCTTTCTAGGCGCCTCAGTTTTAATCGGTTCAGTTTCTGTGACTTGAATATGAAACTTAAAGAGTCTATTATACTCTGACTGTCTGTAGATTCGTTTTGTGGGTGCATTCGTGTTAACAAGCACTTTAAGATCTGGAAATTATCAGTAGTCGCAGAAAATCATAATTTGAGGCCACCTTTAACTTTATGTTTTGTGGAACCCGGAGATTTGTTAAAACAGACAAAAGCACATTCCTAATAGACTATATTTGTCTATGTTATTCTCAGATTAACATTAATCAGCAAGATAAATGGCTCACAGGCAGGTTGCACAAAAGTAAACCTTCTTGGAAAGCGCTGTTTGATCGAGTCAGCCGAGAAAATCCGAGGTAAACTGACATGATATAAATCTCCGAAATAGCTGCTCCGCGTCATACATCCTTTCCCCCGTTTTTCTCAACGAGTACTGAGACAACAAAATTTCTATAGTACTGGTTGTGTTCAGTAACTAACATCCACAAACCTAAACCTTAATTTTTCAGCTTGTGAACACTTTAATTTTGAGTGATAATCAAGAGTAAGAACTGAGCCGTCATCGATTTTTTGGGTCAGCTCTCTTCATTTCATATACAAGGTTTCTCTTGTTGTTTTTGTGCAAATTTCCTATTACGAAAGAATGATCAAACTAGTATCTATTCATGATTTTCGTGAGGAAATTGAATAAACTCCCTCGAAAAGTCACCTCTCATCTCCGCCTAAACTTGAATTATAACATAAACAATGCAAAGCACGCGCTCTGATTGGTCAATTTGGCGTCCCCCATTTTCCCCTGGGTGTACGCTGCTGACGTGAGCAAATGCAAAGACTATTTTTCCGCGCGCGCTTGTTTTTTTCTGGTCGCGTAAGATTTGTTAAATAAAAGGGAACTCTTTAGCTACAATGTATCAATGTTATGTTATAAAACAAATGGTAAACACCACAGCGTACACTATTGAGTTATGGATGCACTTGGGAGGTTTGCTAAGCACTCAAGAAGCTAGAGTCGCTCTCGGCTATCGCCTCGAGCGACTCTTACGCTTCTTTCGTGCTTAGCAACCTCCCGCGTGCATCCATAACTCAATAGTGTACGCTGTGGTGTTTACCATTTGTTTTATAACATAACATTGATACATTGTAGCTAAAGAGTTCCCTTTTATTTAACAAATCTTACGCGACCAGAAAAAAACAAGCGCGCGCGGAAAAATAGTCTTTGCATTTGCTCACGTCAGCAGCGTACACCCATGGGCAAATGGGGGACGCTAAATTGACCAATCAGAGCGCGCGCTTTACTTTGGTTATGTTATAATGTTATTTTGAAGTCATAAAAATGTTTTTAAGTGTTGTAACAATCTTGTCTCCTGAATTGCCGTTTAGGTAATTGCCTTGTTGTATTGTTTGTTTGGCTGTTTTATTTATTTATTTTTGTAACAAAGTGAATCTTTGATGTTTGTTTTTGCTAACAGACTCGCTCGCGGTCGTGATGAGTGGGAAAGCGCCGCCCTTCAGAATGCGAACACCAAGTGCAATGGTCTTTTACCAATCTGGGGTCCTCAGGTAATTAATCCCACAGAATCTTATGGTCGATGATTTCAAAATAGCAGAATGCTAATTACTAACTGTCGTAGGAGTTCAACATGTTTTAGCTTTTCAAAGCGTATAGTAATTTGTCGAATTTATTTGAGTTTATGAGGCTCATCTCATGGAATAGTTTCCTGACTTTGAATTAACTCATGGCAGAGTCGTTAATGAATCCCTTTTGATAGAAGAAGCCTGCACTGATAGTTGTACAATTTAACTTTTGTGTTTCCTTACCAGGTCTCTGAATCAGCGTTTGCGAGCTGCTTGGCAAGGTGAGTGTGCCTTTTTGGCTATATAATGATCATAGAACGGTGCATGTTCTGAATAGTCGAATAGTAAGTCAGGGCCAAATAATAGATGACCTTAGTGAAAGTTTTCGCTCAAATTGCAGCTTTGGTTTAAATCAACCTTAAGGTTTCTCCAAACGCAAGAGTTTATTAGATTCAC